TTTCGCAGTGGCAAGTAGGATTTAGCAGAGAGGGATGCTGAAGGGTTGAAGTGACTCATGCTCTCCTTTGACAGCCTCAATCTGTCATACCTCTCTTGTCTGGTCCCTGCAGATTTTTGTTGATCCTTTCTTTTGGTTACCATTGCAAAATTTTGGCGTGATCACTTAATTACAGTATTTTCAACCTCTATAATGCCATATAATACCTGTTTTCGTAAAACCAGTCTGACAGCAAGTTATGCCTTTTCTTTTAGGGGTCTTTTCAACACAGATTAAATAGAGACAATCACAGAGCAGAAAGTTTTGGCTTTTAGGCTAGCGCCTCCCTTCGGTTGCATACATTTTGTTCGCTGATGGTAGTGATTAAAAGCTCATGGTAAAATGTGGTCATTAGCATTTGGCAGGAATAGGCCAAAAGCACGAAGTTCTATAACATCGGTGTATGTTTTTGTTTGTGTGCAGTGTAGTGGATTTTTCTCTTTGTAGCTGTGTTTTAGTGAGATATTAATCATAAATTACATTCAGAAACATGTATTACTTAAGGATTGTTTTTGGCAACAGTGCAATTAAATGGTTTGTGAAAAAGGTACTTTAAATAATGAGAATACTTGCAATTGTATTATGCTTTGAGCAGCATTTTCTGATTCATTAGATTTAGATTGTAAAATCTATAACATTATAGATAGTGTTCTATATAAAACACCATCTTCAAAAGCTGCTATTTTTTCAAACTACTTAATAGAAGAGCCTATTTAGACCATTAGATCCTTAAATCTCCATCTGTGTGTTCATTGTTGTTATGTGCCAGTTAGCAGTTAGTTATGGGGAAACTATAGGATGTCAGAAGCTTCTCATTGTATGGCGCTCTGTGATGTTTCCTCCTGAATAACTCTGTCGTCTTGCCATACTCAAAAATGACAGCTTCTGTCTTGCCAATGATACACGGTCTAAAAATCTATTTAACTGCCTTTTGCTTATGACCATTTTGAAAAGCAGTGCAGGACTAAAAATATCTTATTGTTGAAGAACAGCAGCTAACTCTATTTTAAAACTTTGCAGGTTATAGTCCAAGAGTTGCGTTGGTTAACATCAAGAGAGTTGATTGGAGATGTCCCTGATACTGGTTTTACTATGAATTCACCTTCTTACAGTAATTTTTCTAATATTTTATCAAATCTTTTTTGTTAGCGTATGTGAACTTTGCGAATGTCTTATGCGAATGCTGTCACTCAATATCAAAACATCCTTATGACCTTTTAATATCTTTTAATCTGATAATTTGGAACAACTAATAATTTTTATTAAATTACTAAACTAAGTACATTCTTCTTAGTTAGAGATAACTCCTTCTTTTTATGCCAGTCTCCAAGATCTTCAGCTTTCTGGAAGCCCCCTTCTTTCTCACTGTGGGTACCAGTAAGCTTTGTATGCTCAATACTAGATTCATCTGTTTGATATGGTCCTTGCAAAGAATTGCAGAAATAATTAAAATGGAGCTTTATTTTTAGAAACTGAACAATATTCATGTCTGCAGAGAAGAACCTTCTGATTAATGAGGACTTAGTACATTTTTTAGAGGCTTTGGTACAGAAAACATTTATCAAGTTGTCCAGCTTCTGTCATTTTACGTCAATCCTTTGGAATCATAGAATCATAGAATGTTTTGGGTTGGAAGGGACCCCTAGAGGTCATCTAGTCCAACCCCCCTGCAGGAGCAGGGACACCGCTAACCAGATCAGGTTGCTCACAGCCCCGTCCAACCTGGTCTTGAATGTTTCCAGGGATGGGGCCTCCACCACCTCTCTGGGCAACCTGTTCCAGTGTTTCACCACCCTCACTGTAAAGAACTTCTTCCTTATATCTAGTCTAAACTTACCCTGGTTTAGTTTAAAACCATTACCCCTTGTCTTGTCACTGCTGGCCCTACTAAAAAGATTTTCCCCGTCTTTCCTGTAGGCCCCCTTTAGGTACTGAAAGGCTGCAATCAGGTCTCCCCACAGCCTTCTCTTCTCCAGGCTGAACAACCCCAACTCCCTCAGCCTGTCCTCATAGGAGAGGTGCTCCAGCCCCCGGATCATTTTTGTGGCCCTCCTCTGGACCCGCTCCAACAGTTCCATGTCCTTCTTGTGCTGCTGGACACAGTACTCCAGGTGCGGCCTCACCAGAGCAGGATTTCATGATTCTCTGAGGGTAACTACTGTTTTCTCACCGCCGCTTGGTTGTGTGAGCTGCTAGTTCTTCTGTTTCAGTTGGACTCTGCTAAGTATCACATGAATACGGCTTACATTGTTGTTTCAAATAAGTTTGTATTTTCTAGACTGTGCTACTAACATTAAAATAATTCTTACTTAAGGGAAAATAATAGCTTGGATCTGAGTTTACGTGCAGGATGTGGAACTTACATATTTCTGTGTCAAGGCCGGGGATCCTTGCAATGTCAGCGTGGCCAGGGCTGTCCAGAAAGGATTGGACCATGCAGTCCTCATATCCTAGAGATCACCAAGTGGGGTCGTGAAGCATCATGCAGGCCTTGAAGAGCGATTGTCTTTAAGGCTAGTCAGGAAGTTGCTGTGGTAATTAGTATTTAACGAGGTGGGTGTGAATCAGACGGAGCTGAAAAAAACTGAGGGGAGTGGGCTGCTCTGCAAGGGGTTGGGAAACAGGGGTAATGGGATGGGGAAAGGAGACGGATGCTAGGAGTTCCTGCGTACACCATTTCCCCCCACTCCCAGCCTGTGGAATACAGCAGTCCTGAACTTCACTAAAAAAATACTGGCATCAAAGATGCGTTGTTGGTTATGGTAGTCAGGCTTCTCCTGCATGGTGATCCCCAGGAAAGCTGCACAGAGTTCAGTCTGAGAGGGACTGCCTGCTAATGCTGTGCTGCAACTGTCCTCAATAATTTCCTTCTATGTGCTATAATTGAACATCATCTGTTATGTGCCGTTCAATCTGTATTGACACCAAAGAGGAGATTTGTGTAATAAAAAAGTACAATTACTCTTACAGCCACCGGACAGAAGGACTGAGAGCAGCCCAGACTGGCCGGCAGCCATTTATCACTAGGCCAGAGCTGGCTTCAGCTGTGGGGAGGGGAAGGCTAATGCCTGGCAGGTGAGGAAGCTGGTCCCCTGAAGACCAGCTGTGGCCTAGGCTTTAAACTGAGTTGACAGACTGGCTACTTTCCCCCTCTGTTGAGGCTAAAGGTCTCTAAAAAGAACAAACTCAGCCGGGCCCAGGGCAGGCAGGAGGATGAGGTCCAGCGGGCGGCAGCCATGTCAGGGCAGCGGGGGGGGGGGGGGCTCCTTGCTGGGAGCTGTGACAGGCTGAGGGCTCCGGTCAGACTTCCCTGTGGGATTGCTTAGAGCCTGCGTAGGGGAATTCCCCTTACGTTTCCTGGAGGGAAACTGTCTTTTATAGGTGGAAATGAACAGGTGAGGGGTTTAAAAAAAAATAAAGACACTGTTAGAGATGCTGTTCTGGGTGGTGTATGGTGTTGAGGTGGTGTACCCTAGCCAAGAAGGCACAAGAATGTTGTCATTTTCTGTTGTTGAAACATCTCTATTTCTCACTCATTTGTAATTCAGAAAACAAAAATGAAATAATATGTGAAAAAGTATTAATATGCCTTTGGAAGCTTATAAAACATAGCAGGATGTGCCTTGCTATGTCTTAGTCCTACCCATAGAACAAGGTGGCTGAGGTGGCAGAGTTGCCCCCATCACTCTGCCTGTTTGTCTGGCAGCAAGGGGAAAGATGAAAGAATGTTCTTGCTGTGTACTTGCAAGATTAACAAACCAGGTTTGCAGCTCAAACAGGAGAGACTCCACATAATCTCTCATTTTTTGTGACGGTCGTTCCCTATGTGTTCAGTGGAGAGGCGGCCTTGCAGGGCTCTGCTGATGCATGCTATGGCAGCAAGTCCTGGGGAGGGGGAGAGAGGCTTTTATGTGGTGGTGTCTTCAAGGGCAAGTGTGAGCTAAAGCCCATGGTTTTTACCCCACCTAGTATTTAGCTGGAGTTCAGTGGAAGCTTGTGCAGCCCGAGAAGCACTTGTGTAACTCAACAAGTAGGCTGAAGTGGGATCTTCTGAGAAGTCCCTCCCAGGTTTCTTTTCACAGAGAGTCTTACCACAGCAATTTTATTTTGAGGTGGTAAAGGCACAGGTAATTGTGGCAGAGAAACATTTATGCTTGCCAACTATAGGTAGAAAAAATACTGGTTTTCTAAAAAATAGATGTTTGCATGTTGTTTGGCCTCAAACTGTACCATGAACACAGGCAATGCATTGCTACTACTGGCAAACCTAAATGGTGTCTGGCTGTGAGTGAATAGGAGTTAAACGCGTAACTGCAGAGAACGTAGGTTTAAGTGTACTAGTAGTTACAGAAGTATTCATTTAACATTTGTTATAAGCTACTGTTGTTTTTTTATGAGTAATAGGGGAGCAGTTTATAGGTGAACTACTGTATAGAGAAGAAGAGCTGTGTGGCTTCGGATGGAACACTTGGAGCCTCAGACAGTTTTGTGAATGTTTTCTATTACAAATAAGTTTAATAGTATACATTAAAAAGGATATGTATTTAAACTTTTATGGTCTGTACCACGTTAGGTGGAATTACAGTAAATTGCTACATTTCATTTCTGTAATTATCTTATAAACTGCTAGTAGATATTGTCCTGAAGTTTATGTTCAGCACATTTTAACACCAATCGTATTTTGGACAGCTTGTATAAGCTCATTTGATTGTCTCTTAGGGGTGTAAAATTACATATATATATTTAAAAAAAGAGCAAGTTCTATTAAAAAAGCATAAGAGTTATACACCTTTGGATGACTGCGTGTACTATTGAGAGGGGAGGGATCATGATCGTCTCCCTTGCTGTGATTATGAGTATGCACAGAGCGATTTTCCTATCACTAATAGTTCTAGCAATATATGATTATGAAACATGGTCTTTTCCTTTTATTTTATTTTTTTCCATTCCTGTAGGAACTTGGAAGTAACAGCCCTCCGCAGAGGAACTGGAAGGGAATTGCTATTGCGCTGCTGGTGATTCTAGTTGTTTGTTCACTCATCACTATGTCTGTCATTCTTTTAACCCCAGGTAACCTACTTCTTTATTTTATCTTACTGAAGGTGTATGATTCATAATGCAGTCATTAAAATGACATATGAATGTTGAAGTATCTCTTGCCCTTAAGCATTTTAAACTTCTGGCTACTATAAACTTGGTGCCTGTGGGGACTCAAGAGTTATGGGAGGCCTTCTGGAGCAGAAGCATTTGGCTTTGGCAGTAGGTCCTTAGGATTGTGTCAACCTTGAGATGGGTACAAGCAATCCTCATTAGTCTCAGCAGGTGTGAGCTGACTTTAAGATTTTGTCACTTGTGTCTTGGTGTAATTTTAGATTCACAGATGAGTTAAAAGAAAGCTGCATGTCATGGAAAACTAATATTGAGAATGAAGCTTCTCACTGAACCAGAAGCATGCATCTTTCATACATACGTGCACAAGTTTCCTCCCTTTTATTTCTCTCAAAAACAGAGAGGGGAAATTACCTAACGGTTCAGTTACACAAAAAAAAAGGGGGGGTGGGGCAAATAGCAGAAAAAAAAAAAGCAGTTGGACATATAAAATAATTACGCTTGATTTTTTTTGAGTATGTATTTTAATTTGATCTGGGTTATTTTTCTAAAGGTTTTCTTTTTACTGCTGGGTTAGCAACCATTTAACTATGTCTAGGAACCTAAGGGAACGAAAACACAATTTTTAAAGAAAAAATATCTTTGAATTCTCTTTGTCAGATTTGAAGTTACAATGTAAAGTAGCTGATTTGGATGGCATGCCTAGATAGTAAATATTGATCTGCAAATGTTCTGCCATGCAAGTTCCCAGTTTGTGTAAACCAAAAGGTTAATGAAGTGCTTTTTAGTTATATAATGGTTCCAGACAATTTGGCCACTGTATGAAATCATCAAGGGAAGCTGGGTGGGTCTGTGCATGAGCAAGGGCAGTAGCAGACTGATGCTGCTTGAAAGGAAGGTGGTGAGACTGAATGGGAAAGGATCAAAAAGCTTTGCTTGTCAGAGGGAATGGGACAGCTGGAGAGAGTGTGTAGGAATACTACGGACTCTTTTGCTTCCTCTGTTTTGTATAAATATCTACTACATATGCATGGTGCTGTCCAAGAAATGATAAAGAAATGGCTGATTATTTCCACTTAAAACATTTTGAGAAAAATAAAAGCAAAGTTGTCCCATTGTAGTCTCAGTGTATAAGAGTTTCTTCAGGGAAAAATAAAAACAGACTTTGAGGGCAAATGGTGGTGTATACTTTAAGACAGAAAACTTTTTTTCTTTTCAAGGAGAGGTAAATTTTTTAAGGCTTGTCAAATTTCAGAAGTGTTATGCTGGAATCCACAATAATGAACACCAGTGCTGGGTCTTCTATCTATACAGAATCATTAATGATGTAAAAACGTAAATTGAAGTCTTTGAAGGGTCTCATGGAGGAAAGAATAAACAACCTAGGGAAATGTTAATTTTTTTTTCATATGTTAAAAAAGCTCAGTGAGTTACAACATCTCTGAGGCTGTTTCAAAATCCAGAGAGCTTGCTTGAAAACTTGATGTAAGCTGGGACCTACATTTCAGTTCAAGTCAGGCGAGTGAAAACTAGTTCTGGCAGCTCAGATGTGCTAAGATATCCCATAGAGACTGTAGAGCTTCGTATAAATAAACCCCTTTTTCCCTAAATGATCTAGGTCTGTAAAACTGGGGTTTTCCTGCAGGTTAGAAATGCTTACCGAATAAAGCTTTGGAGGTACCTTGTAGGACAGCTACTTTCCCTATTTTGATCCTAATCAGTGCTGTTCCCCCCTTCACTTTCATGATTAATTAATATGTTTTTGGAAGAAAATATTCTGATACTCTGCCGGTTTGCTGGCACTATAGCTGAAGTTAACTAGTCTTGAGTATATGTAAGCTTGCCTTGGGGTGTCTAGCATTTGAGAGGAGGAAAAATTTGGAGACTTTCTCACAGGTCTGGCGATTGCGAGGTGGTCAGTTCTAAGGTGCTACCACTCTGTTATTGTAAATACTTGGTTTTGAAAATTCTCATAAAATATAATAGATCTGAATGAAGATGTTCAGTGCAATAGTGATAATTTTGTCCTTTATTACCTTGGGATAGTTCAGAGTGCATTGTTTTTCATTTCCAATACTGTTTTGAGCATCAGAGACTTCTTTCTCTATTTAGTTCTGCCTGTACCAATGTGTGCTTTTTAGATTTGATGTAAATTCCCCTCAATGCTGTGCATCATGCTGCTTCTTTTCATGGAGATGGTGATAATTTCAGATGGTGGTTGCTCAGAAGCCTGATTGTTGAAAATTTTGTGGAGGCAAAAGTGTATTTACTGATATGCCTAATCCAACAGTAATGATCCCTTTTGCCTACAGTTATTTATATATTGCTTTGTCAACAATATAAGAAAGTCTTTAGTCAGTGTACACTTTAACAGTTGTTATTTGATTTCACTCTAACTTTGAGAAACAGCTTTCATACCTTTTTTAATAGAGGGATCAATGGTTCTGAATGAGATAAGCTTTTAAAAGAAAATCTTCTATCTAAGTTATATGCAAAAGGCTTCAAAGAGGCTTTAGCTTCTGCTAAAGATACAACCAGTATTAAAACTAAGTGGAAAATCTTGATTATTCTTTTTTAGTGTTTTTCTTCATTACATGAAATATTGCTTGAGTATACAACACTAAGCAGGAACTGTGTTGAAGTGAGATATATATTTTGACCTATATTAATTTAAGCTTCTGTTAAAATATGAAATATCTGTGTTGCAATTATGGTGTGGTTTTAGAAAATTGTACCAACAATATTAGTAATATTTTGGTCCCCTTTATATTGCATTTCATCTCTGCTAATACTCAAAATTTATAATGCATTGGTGTTCTCAGCAAAGAGATGGAAAAATGCAAGACCAGACTGTTCAGTAGTCTGAGAGATTAGTGGTAGAGTCTAAATGGACTGCCAGTCAGTAACCTCTTGTTGGGGCTCAACAGCTCTCTGTGAACCTCTGTGGACTAAGGCATATGGAAAAAAAAAAAACATTGCACCCATCCAGTACAAATTGCTACCCTGCTCTGTAGCTGGGAGTAGAAGGCTTGCAGGCAAGTATCCCCACTCATTTTCTTCACAACTGAACAACTGCAAATAAAGAAAGTGCATGAAGATATCAAATTAGGTTACTCTTGTTAAGAGTAAGGGACTGGAGCGTGGAAAAACTTGAGAGTTTAAGAATAGGAACTGTCTATCTTCTGGGCAGTTTAATTATAAGTCTAGTGATTTTTGTGTAATATTTGGAGATGATTACTGGAGAAGTATTTAAGAGAGAACAAAAGAGGAAAATACCTTGGGAATAATCTTACAAATATAACTTTCTTTCTATTGGGAATTAGTGGCCCATGCAGAGACAGAAGTAGCTGTTTATGAGATGCCATAATTTGTTTGTAAGTCCTTGTAAACATAACACAGGTGTCTGTCTTGTTCTGCTTTTATTCTGTTTCATGTTTTTGAAGTTTCATCACATACCTGCACATACTGAAATATTCATAGGTACATTTTCTGGGATCAGCGCCTCACTCCTGCCTTTAAATCAGCACGTTTTTGTGCTTTGCATCATGATGGTATATTCCACATCATAGGAATTATCTGAAGACCTTTCTGATAGACCACTGTTGACCTTAATTTCAAAACTGAGAAATGCTCAGTTGGAAGTAGCAGCTGAAAGCTTTTATGTGAAAAAAATCACCTAAGAACAGCCTAAGAGTTGTACAGATGATGCCATCCTTGTACAGGTGTTTTGCCACAACACTTAAGGTTGTTTTTCAGTTTGGGAATGACAGTAGTTCTACCTTCATGTTAGCTTACAGTTTCTGAAGGTGTGGCAGACTCAAATGCTTTATGTGGGACTCCTCTACTTTAAACCATGCATTCTGATAAATTACTGTTGAGCAAAGTGGCATGTGACTCTAATCATAGTCTCAAAGCAAAGTCAAGAGTTTGCTTTGCTATCTCTTGATGCAAAGAAGAAAAAAAAAAAAAAGACAGCTTTTCAGAAAAAAATCTTTTAAGGAACATTTAGGTCAGTCAAACTGACAAAAAATGCTTTTTTTTTGAAATTGTTTTGAGTAAAATCAAGCTCTAAGAAGAGGATCCATTTGGGTTATGTCCAATAGATAAATACTCTGTTTAGAACAGGGTTGGGACCTACCCTCCGCACCATCTCTTGTACTATTCTTAAATGAGTGGAAGTCAAACTAAAATTTATATTTGCTGAAGTGGAGATTCATTACCAGAAGATTCAGATTTCTGTTCAATGCTGTATAGGCTCCCTGTAACTACTGTAAATTGGCAAACAAGTTTTGACATATGACTACTTTCTGGCAAGCTGTTTTTCCTTTTTCATGCAAACATAATACAAACTATACTAATTCCCAGTTACTAATATACCTGTTAGCTTGCATACAGCTTACTAGTGGTGTCTCTTGACTTTTCAGACAGCATTTAACATCAAGCCTTTATCTTAATTTCTAGTGTTAAAACATTTTTGTTCCACAGGAAAGTCAGTAAGGAGTTTGAGTTAATAATGTACTACAGTACATCATTATTAGTTTTATTTGCTAAGTTAGAAGATAAATTTTATCAAGTGTTTAGACTACTTTTAACCTGCAAAAATAATATCCTATAAACTCGTGAAAAGTAATGAGGCTATTAATTTCTACTTTTGCGGTCCTCCAGTTTAGTAAGCACAAACAGGTTTGTAATTTTGGATAAATACACACCCACTGTTGAACTCTTGTTAGTACAATGTATTGTTAGTACAATGTATAGTTAAAAAGTAGCCCTTTAGTTTTTTTACTGTTGATTTTGTTTGTATCTTCTTCATTTTCTATACATACTATATATAATTTCAGACTGAAATATAGCAATCTCTGGGAAATAGCGTGAGGACACTACGATTCCTTCAAGGAATAATTCACTAAAATTTAAAATGGAAATGAAAGTAGGCTATTTGGTAATGTGGTAATAAACATAAAGTGGAAAAAGGCAGTCTTTAAAATAAAACAAGTACTTTGTGAGGTACATACTAATTTGTGCTTGTGCTCAAGAAAGATTAACCCAGTATAGAGTTCTGAGAGTTCACATCATGTCTAATTCATCTTACTATGTATAAACTAAGCCTTTTGGAACCTTAAATTACTATTTTAGAGTCTTTTGTTGTCAAATCAACATTTTTCTTAAAAATTATACAATATGAGATATAGACAGAGTGAAAGCTATTGTCAACGATTACAAATAAGGCTGTATTTTGATAATGACTTAGCATTAGAAAAAAAACTACTTTTCAAACATTTAGTTTTATCAGCTTAAAACTGCTAACAGTAATTTAACAAGTTACTTCAAAATCCAATTTATGTTGAGATTACTTGGCAGGCATGTGAATTAGAAGACAGAGAGCAGAGCTGGTGTACCTTTCTTCTCTGATAGCCTTTCTGTACACAGTTGGTTTTAGTGATTTTTATTAAAGCTGTTAATAAAAGTCTGTGAAAACTAAACTGTCTTGGGTAAGAGAATTTTTGGCAACATAACAGCTTGTGTGAGCTTGATTGATAGTTGGCAAACTGGCAGGATATAGGGGGTCACAATAAATAGAAACAGACTCAAGAAAGGTTAGAAGGGGAATCCTTTCGGGATCACAAACAGCTTCGGGACGAGGGTGTGTTGAATCAAAATAGGTGATGGAGAACAGCTTGTTGAGGGTAGGTAGTCAGCAAGGTTGCGGAGAAAGGGGAAAATGGGCATATGAAGAGCATATTTGATGCTGTTAAGTTAGAAGTAGTGTTTTGAAGACAAGAGAATGTATTTTTGGAGCTGAGTTGAGCATATATAACAACATGTGCTTACTTTGAAGATAAAAACTCGGTGTGTGGCAGGAGCAAGAGCTAACGAGGTCCCATGATGTGTAAACAGAGGGATTAGGATAAATCAAGAGAGATAATGTTACTCTGCTGTAAAGCTCTAGTAAGACTTCAAGTGGAATATTCTGTCCTATGCTGGACCTGGAGACTGAAAAAAAAGTCCAAACAGGCTATTTTGATCCTTGGAATGTAGGAAAAGGGCAAAAAGCTTATTTAAGGATTAGAAAATTTGTCTTATGTGAGAGGATTTGAACAACTCTGCATGCTTAGCCTTAGAAGACATCAAGTGCAAGAAGAGTTGATTACAGTGAGTAAGTGCTTACTGGGGCCCTGCTGAGACCTGGGAGGGAGGCACGTGCAAAATGCAGAAGAGCCATGGAGTGAGCAGCTGTGATGGCCTTGTGTCTATCGTAAATGTATGATGTGCATTAAAAAGGCGTTTCTCTTCAATACAGCAAGGATGCATCTTACTAATAGTAACCACAGTGAGTGCAGCAGGCAGTGCTGACATTTAAAGGCAAAAAAAGTTATATTGTTGTTGATTCCATGGAGCTTTCAGCTGGGCCTCTAGTGGAGAAATTTGGCTGAAGAAAGACCAGTAACAAAACTATGATTGACTTTATTCACTGTGAAGGGGTCACATTTTCATCTGAAATGTATTACAGCATACAACCTTTACAAAGCACATTTCTTTTTCTTAAAAGTGTGCTGGTAACATATTGGGTCGACATCAAGATAACAAGGTTGCTCCTTGACTGCTGTGATTCTAGGTATTCTTTTTCTATGGGTCTGTCATCAGCGGTGCTGTTCAATACCAGTAATCTGTAAGGACAAAATCTGACTAACAAAAAGATCCCCTCGTAGAGAAGGTGGATGCCTGACACATTGGAAGGAAAAGCTCATAGAGCAGAGAAATACTGCAGTGATCTATGGCAAACCTGCCCCAAAGGGATAAAATGATTAGAAGACCTGACTGGGCACCTGTCTCGTTGATTGTGTAGGAAGCGCATAGGTGCATTTTTGCTGGTGCAGGGGCAATGAATGTATAACGCAGCTTTTGGCAGCTGCTGTTCTCCTAAGGCAGTTAGGTGAAATGCATAGCTGCTATTGGTCAATATTCATTGGAAACTTCGTGTTTTGACAGCAAAACTTTTGCTTTAATACTACCTCTGATTTCACATGTCAGTGTGACAGTTCACTATTGAATCTCCCCTATTTACTATTTATTTAACCTACAGCACAAGAGAAGTAGAGTTCCGCAGAGCTTCTTTTTTCTTTTCTGAAGCATGGAGATGATTTTAGGAGCTGGCAACTTATTTTTTTGTTTTGAAAGTTAATGTTGGCTGATGTTCAGAAGCACGGTATTCCTGGGTTCTGTCATGTTTGGGAAAAACACAAGGCTGTTAGCCAAATGTCATGTTGTGCTTATCACTACAGAGCAAGCACAGACTAGAAAATGTGCATATAGAATTTTTTCTTTTTTTTTTACATTTTAATTTGTAGAATAGGTGAAATTCATTCCAAATTTACTTTCAGGAGTATTTTACTTAGTTTCTGTCTGTAGAAGGTGATCAATATGACTTACATCCTTTGGCTGTCAGGAAATTTTTGTGTTGGTTTGTAATCAGACTTTTCTTGTGGTGTAGGGCTGTGGGAGGAAGGAGCTTTGCCACTACAGTCCCAGTATAATAAATAGCCAAGCACTACCATCCTTCAGTTGTCCTGTCCTTAAGGTACCAATGCTTTGATTTCTGGAGCTTTACTGAAGAAAAATTGAATATTTTCTTATACTGAATAAAAATAAGAGCAAGGTATTGTTACTGATTTTGACAGGACCTTTGAACTATGTATTCTGGTTCTGTAATTCCAATGTTTTGCAGACTACACTGAATATATTGTTTTTAATAAATATCTAAAATGATCCTGTTGTGTTTATTTTAGATGAACTCGCAAATTCATCAGAAACCAGGTTGTCCTTGGAAGATCTCTTCAGAAAAGAGTTCATCATTCATAATCCAGAAGCTAAATGGATTAATGGTAAGTGTATAATTTCCCATGTAACTTAAAACTAGGTAATAACACTACCCAGGCTCTGAGAAAGAATCAGTTAAAATTTCAAACTCTCTTGGAATTGGCCAGTGTCCCAGTTTTCCTTGTAGTTCTGAATCATGTTGGTTTCATTAATTTTTGAAGTGACTTTCTAATTTTAAGGCTCCATCTAGTAGAAACTCACTAAAATTTTCTGTTTATATTACTGACTCATTTGGAGACAGTGATGTAGAATTGTTTTTTAAGAACTGAATGTTGTTTATGGATTCACAAAAAGATCAATTCAGAAAAATCAAATTGTTCTATTAATATCTGAACTTTGGGATTTGAGAACTGGTTATGACTTCACATCTGGAAAGGATTCTTAAGTATTTCAATACACTTGTACAGCTCTTAGTAATTTTCTGTTGTGTACAAATTGTATTAATGTTCTAATTTATTAAATGATTTATAAATGTATGCAGATTCCCAAAGAATTACGCAGTTAAAGTGTAAAAAAGAAAACAAATTCAAACTCTTTTTTTTCAAGTCATTGAACTCCTTTTCTCTTGATCACGTGGGTTGTTCATATTCTTTCTGTTTGCAAGAAATGTACAAGTAACACAATAGTGACCATCTGTTTTGTGTCATTATAGTTGGATCTTGGTATTACTCCAGGTGTTATAATCAAAGGAATAACAATAGGCTTTGTGCAAAATAGAGTATTGTTAAGGAGTGCTCTATGGAAGGTAGGAGTTTGAAAGTCTGGTGACTGTGTATGTAAATTCAGAATAACCGCACAGGAAATAATGGTTCAATTAATGTTGGTGTTCAGTAATAACTGGAACTGGTTTTCATTTGTAGGGAGCTATATGATTGAATTGAATTGTTGCTTTATGATATATTCCAAAGAATGAAATGGGCTTAAAAAGGGTAAGTGCATTTAAAAAAAAAAAAAAAAGCATAAAAAGGGAGAAAAGTATGGTCATCTTTTTTTTCCAGGACAAGCTCTGGTATTGAGTTACTTGTTATCCAGTAGCTTAGAGGTAGGAGAGGGGAGGCTTAATTTAGTTTCCTGCCACTCCTTTTCCCCCAGATACTGTGGTGACCATACAGTTGCTGAGATGCCCTTAGTTTCTCCTTCAAATTGGTTTCTGTCTGCAATCAGTGCCAGAAACTCTGGTGCTGGGTAAAGCCAGAATAGTGCTATTGCCAAGAGGAACAGTTTCTTGTGTTTGGCAGAAAATTTTTTTCCAGTTAAGACTTTTGGGTCATTAAATCCTAAACCAGTTTTTGATTAATTTGCTGTTACCTGTCAAATTCATAAAGCAACTGCCTTTGACTACACCCTATTTGAAAAATACTGCTCCTAATTGCCAAATAAAGTTTCTACAGACCCAGCATTGTCAATTAAAGTGGTCGCTAAAAACAGGCAAGTACATAAAGGAAGAAGATGGTTCTGCTAGTTCTCTACATTGCTCTTGCTACTCAAAAACTCCATGAGGTTACTCATCTAAGAACACTAGTAGTCATTCATAATGTGTATAATATTCTGTGTGTGAAAGTATTATTAATTTCAAAACCCAGGACAATAAAATTAAAGGGTTATGGGTTGAGTTATATTAAATATTGTTCATACTATAAACGACGTAGTTTATTGTATTTTTAACTCTGTTCTACAGCTTGTGATAAGGTAAAAGCTTCTTTTAAGAGTTTTCCAGATGTGCTAAAAAGAAATGTAGAATTTGGTGCTAAACACTTGCTTGGATGCAGGTTTCTTTTGTGTTCAAAATCCATGTTAAGAAACTCATACAATGGAAGATAATTTTACTAGTGTCATGCAAAAAAACAGAGGTCGTAAGCAATCTAATCTAAGAGCTACGAGATTGTACAGTTATGAACTTTTTCATCTATTGAAAATAATATTAGAAATATTATTTAATAAAGAAAGGCCCTGTGTTTTTATTAGCAGCACAGTTGTACTAATATCGAGTCTTTCTGCAGTGACGTTTTTCTTCAGCCAATATGAGAACTCCTAAGCTTGCAGTTAGGTGTTTTCCTGAGTTTATTGGCTAAAGAAGCAATGAAGCCCAGTGATACAAAAAAAGGGAAAGAATGGACTTTTTTTTTATTAGAGTATGTGTGTGTATGGGAATTGAGGAAAAAGTTGGGATAATTAAGGATTTTACTAATTGTTCAGTATTTCTGATAAACACAGAAAAACTATGTATAGATTTTTGGATTTTGCATTTTCTTTGAAAATTTCCAGTATGGCCAATGAAATCAGTATCTCAGATAATAACCAAAATGAAGAGGAGTCTTGCAAAGCAGCATTTCTGCTTCCTGCTTGTGTTTTTATTTTTAAGACTTAGGATAAGATTATATTTTCTTTCCTGGCGTGGTAGCATTGCAGTGGTGGCATTATATGCATGGAGAATGAAATATAGAACTTAATATTCAGCACTAATTACCGTGGAGCTGGAGAGGAGCATTTGGCACTTCCTTTGGATACTGGCAGGGTAAGTGCTTCTGGACTCTGCACAGGAAGATTTTAGCGCAAAATACGTAGCTACTTACTGCTACTTTTGCTCCTCTTGGGATAGCATAATTTGTATCCATCTGAAAGTTTTATCATCTTGACCTCCGGGGAAGGGATGGGGCTAGATTGAATAAGTGATTCCTGCTTTTTTTTCTGCAGGGTCTAGAGCATATTTTGTAGTAAAATGTCTGATTTAAGGATTTCAAGTGCTAGATGAATCACGGTGTTCTTAGGTAAAGGTCTAGTATTTAACTACTGCCATTTAATGAAATTTTATGTACTGATTGAATTTCTCTACTGTTACCTTCCAAACACGATGTTGTTTATTCCTTGTTTGCAAGTTCCTCCACTACAAAAATGATCCCCACGTAGTTATTTCTAGTCTACTCTTTAATAAGAAAAGCTCTTACATACAGAAGTTTTTACAGTCCATTTCCTTTTCTGCTTGAAACTGAGTCCACAATTTTATGTGCTTGCCACCAAAGTTAATAATTATGCAGATGTCTAAAGCTACAGAGGAAGTGTTGTTCTTTATCTGAGATAATCAGCTGTTGCCAAAGAAATTAAAAGAAAAAACTTGAGCTAGTTTGAAAAGTGACAAAATATATTCACATTTAAGGTAATTTGAAGATGTATCTATGCAGGTATCTTTCAGATTTCTTCCTCTCTTTCTTTTTTCCTTCTTTTTTTGTTTTACTTGAAAGGCAACATTTTTTAAGCCTGACTTGGATTTTTGTCTGTTTTTGTAAAAGTTTACAAAGGAAAGAGAAAGAAAATATGGATGAGGGCTAGTATTTTTCATGAAAATAACAATTTAGTCATTTACTAAGCTTTTTCACTTACAAGTCTGATCACTTCAGCTGTATTTAAAAGGACATTGAAGAGCATACACAACTATCAGTCAGTTCAATCTCTGTTATCTGAAAGAGCGTTTGATTTCAGAAAGCATTCCAGTTGCTTGGCATAGTTTCGAAGGTGCTAAATAAGGGTACATCTTCCCTTAGCGTTATTGATCTTCAGGTTTTCGAATAGGAAGTGAGAATTTAAAATGCTGTCAGTGAATAATAAAAGTACTTAAATCTGACAGCATATTGCTACTGATAAGGGCTTCAGATTAGATGGCAAACCAGCTTGGTTTACTTACATCTAACTACAAAACTGGAGTGTAGTTTAAAATATCCAGGGTAACTAAATTTAAGAAAGCACTGCAGTTAAACTTCCCCTATGCTTTCCCTTGCCAAAAACTTGTCAAGAGACTTAATGTATCTCATATTGCTTCTGTCTTGGATTCTAACCATTTTGCAACAGGGACCAGTCTCTGCTTCAGGTCAGGCATAGCATCTCATTTCACGACCACAGTTTGCTTTAAGAACATGTCTCCCGGGTGTGAGTACAGTACATTTAATGGAAGGTCACAATGTATTGGGGCATAGTTCTAAAGTAGCTGTATCTGTGACAACACCAACTGTATCATCGCTCTATTAGTTGTTCATAAACCAATGTATGAATCATTGCTTATCTGCCAATATCAGCAGGCTGCAGCTGGATCTTTGAACCATACTGAAGCATTTTTTCAGTATGTTTTCTTCACTTCTATTAAGTTACTTAGAAATATGTATGCTAGCCTCTTTAGGGCTCAAAAGGTTTTCAGTCTAATCCCCAGATCTTTGGTGGTGTACTTGCATCTCTTATTATCAGGGACTCTGGCTGTTATAATGACAATAAAATTCTGAATCTTTGCCTTTATTCCTTCTGTGAATATGGAGTTGCTTGCATTTGTGCTGTTTAGATCTTTGCCAACCTATCCTAGATAGATAGATAGGTAGAGTGCATTGGCTCCTTGCTTGTATTCCGTCAGATGGTCATATAGTCAGCAGAGTCATGATATTTTTCATATATTGAATGAAAAGTGTCGGAGAAGGACCAGAAGTCTGAATGATGGCCTGCAGCAGGCTGTGCTCTGGAATCCTGTCTTGTGCTACAGCTCAGCAAAACACCTGAGTATGTGCATACGTGCTTTACAGAGCATGGAGGGATGTAGGCATCTGCTTAAGGTAAAACTTCTTAAGGTAAGGTGCTTTGCTGAAATTGGGAGACGATAAAATATTTCTCTTTCTGTCTTGCTTGGCTTTGGAGCAGCTGTCTGTTCCTGTATCCAGTAACCCTTGCAACACCCTGTCACAGGAAGAGTGTAAGGTAATGCATATGGCTGGGCAGCATCATGTCTGCGCAGAGGCAAACACAGTCCTACTGATGCAAGAGCATAGATTTTGGTGTAGTGAGGGAGAGGACTGGGGAGATGGCAGGTGATGGTGTAGAGCGAAGGGTTTTCAGCGGCACTTTGAAGAGGGCAGTGATCTTCGAGAGGGCAAGAGATGATAGCAGAGATCCCCTCCTCCTATAAGACCCCACACTTTATTCAAAACAGACTCATCTCACAAGCAGCCGCCCTCTCTGTCTTTGGCAGGAG